ACACCTCCATTCAGAGGCCTCATTCTTACGGGACTCCTTCAGGTGTCTCCACCGAGACCTTCTTCCCGGGGACAGGTCTTGACCAAGGTATTCTTCTCCACTCTGTTTTTCCACTTCTAGCCTTTCCTTCTCTCCCTGTCCCCAGTTCCCTGGGTTCATAAAATGGCAGTGCTCCTCAGCAATAATCAAAATTTCCACCAAAAATTGTCTTCAAAACACTGAGACAATTTCCTCCACCTGCACTGCTTGATTGACCCTTGGCCAGTGCCATTCAGCGGGGGGCTAGGAAAGAACAGTGAGGAGCCAGTGCTACATTCCTTTTTGGCCTCCTGCTTATATTGTCACAGTAAGTAAATAAAAATTTGATTATTATTTTCATTTTGGCTCATTGCCTTAATTGACTACCTCAACTAGCAGCTTAGCATAGGATTATTGCTAAACATCCTACTATGCAGAGAACAGCTCCCAGAAAAGCATTAAACGGTCCAAACTGTCAACAGGGCTGAGGCATTTGGCGGAACTTGACTCCATCACCACCACCTCCAGAGCCAATAAGCCCATGGATTTCTCCTAGAGAATGTTATTCATCCAGGAGCGATAGATGACCAAATAAGAAGGCCTAATCATACTGAAATGAAAGACTATTCCATGGCTGAGGGAGAATTTTCCTCAATTTTTGTTGTGTTGGACATGAACAAGAGAACATAAAACCCTGACTGCCACTGGCAGCCATCGTGTGAACATGATGTGTGAACATTGTGGGAAAGCAACTTTGGGATGAAGTACTTGTACTATGCTACAGGAGTGAGGTAGAGAACCCGGGTCTTTGATGACAGTATGACTGAAAGCACTGTGGCCAGAACGCACCCCGTCTGTGGACTTCCCAAAATGGGTAATAAATTTCCTTATGATTTTAAGTTTCAACTGGAGTTTTTCTTACTTGCAGTGAAAACTGTTCTACAAAAAAGATCAAAAAAAAAAAAACCTAAAAAAGCAATAAAAACAGAAAGCATTAATCTAAAAGCAGAAATATATTACATATAAAAACACTACACTAATGTATGAAATAGGAGGAATCCTAAAAGTGAATCACAAAGCAAACCACACTACTTTAAAATACCTAAACACAGTGACACAAACATAAACAAATTCACGGATAGATAAAGGTGTATCAAGCAAATGTACTTTAAAATAAAACGTCATAATCTTAATATCTGACATTTTAAACTATAAGGCAAAAGCATCCAATGAAATAACAACAAAAGATATTGTTATAATGATAAATGTAAAACCCACATTGTAAATCTAGCAGTCATGAATTCATATGCAACAGAAGACATAAAAATATAGAAAGAAATAAAAAAAAAAA